AACATTTGAAGTATATTCTATTTTGTTGTACTCTAGTACCTGGCATTTGTTTCTTTCTTTTTCTTTTTTTTTTTTTTCCTTATTTCTTTTACTTTTTCTTTCTTTTTTAGTTAAAAGTTTAAGAGGGAAAGTACCAGTGTTCAGATTTGAACTATAATAGTTTGTATATTCAACATTTGAAGTATATTCTATTTTGTTGTACTCTTGTTTCAAAGTGTATTCAAGTAGGTTTTCTGAAATATAGAAATGAAATTTATCTTGTCTTGGTCTCTGGTGATATTTTTAACAATATTTACAAGTGTGAAGAAATGCCACTTCTATTGCTTCCTAGTATAAGAATATTCGGCAAACATCTGCATGCTGCCAAGTCCTTCCTAATTTTTATCATGAACTATAATGATCTACTTTATGTAATTTAGTATTTTAGTTACCACACTTAAAGAATTTATATATGTGACACTTCAGAGTCAAGCCATCTGGTTCTCATTCGGAGGGTAAGAAGTACAAGTAATTCTAGCCCTTTTACAGGTTAAGAAATTGGTACCAAAAACATAACTTGAATTGCCTAATTTCACACAAAACTAGGTCCTGTGACTCTGCATCTTAATGCTCTACTACAAAGAAAATTTGTTTATTAGATGAATGGATTCTTGATATTTTTGACCTTTATACATTTGATGATACTACTTAGATTGACAAAGGATTTTTTCTTTGGTACAGGGATTGAATTCAGGGGCACTTGACCACTGAACCACATCCCCAGCACTATTTTGTATTTTATTTAGAGACAGGTCTCACTGAATTGCTTAGCGCCTTGCTACTGCTGAGGCTGGCTTTGATCCTCCTGCTTCAACTTCCCAAGCCGCTGGGATTGCAGACGTTCGCTACTGTGCCTGGCTCCAAAAGATGTTTTAAAATGCTCCTGTTTTAATCAGAAGTCCTGATAGTACTTCTGTGGGGTTGGGTATTAAGGACTTAACCCATGGGCAATTTACGGTGGAACAAATATCAAGTCCTTTTTATTATTTTGAGACAGGGTCTCTCTAAGTTACTTAGGGCCTCACTAAATTACTAAAGCTGGCCTTTAACTTGATCCTCCTGTCTCAGCCTCCTGAGCCGCTGGGATTAAAAGGTGTACTGCACCCGGACCTGATGGTACTTTTTAATAAAAGCTTGAGTCTCGCTCATCCTATTTGGAAGTTAATCTCAAAGTCCACTTCCCTTTAGAATTTCTCCTAAATGTTTCAAGTTGTGAAAATTGGTACTGTATGTTTTGGTACCTACTGTATTATGTTCTTTTTCACCATGTCTTCCATAATACTCCTTTTGGTCAAAGATTATATTTTATTCCATCCCTGGCCCCCTCCCCAGGAAATGATCATATTAGAGACACTCAGAATAGACACTTTGGGATTTTGCTAACATTTACTAAAATCAGTCACATACTATGGAAGATATCTAAAGACACTTGAATTTCAAGTGAATGCCTTCTTCCTGTGCTGTATCCACTACCTCCACCACTCTGCCTGAAAATCTTAGTGTCTATCTTAAAATAAATTCATCCAAAGCCTGAATTTGGGAACATATAGGTTGACAATAGCTAAGAGTATCTAACAATCAGTTGCATCCTCTCCACATCTTAAACTATGGCTTTTAATCTCAGCCCTTCCAAACTGTCAATCAGTGTAACTTTTATTTGCTTTTTTTTTTTTTTTTTTTTGGTCTAGCATATTTGGGGAAAGCCGTGTGGCCATGCCTCGACACTCTTGTACTCTGTGCCCCCCCAGCTTCAGCCGTCTGTCCTTAGGTGGCAGAGATGGAGCTTGCACTGCTCTCAGCAGATGTCCAGCACACCTCTTTACAGAGAACATGGTCACTCACTAACACACCTTCACCCCATTTCTGGAACCCTTGCTACAGGGAATCAGCCACAGCTGTCATCCTTTCCATGTCTCAGGAAGCAGCCACCTGCCTTCTATTCTCACCATCTTTCCCTTTGCTTTGCCTTGGTCCCCTGGTTCCAACAGTCAGTAGCCTATCATTCTGTCTTTTTAAGTTGAATTCTGGCTTAGACACAGTTTTCATTGAGATCTCTAATAATCCAATTTCCAAAGCAAGTAAATACTTCAGTATTTCATATGATCTCATATCTTTGGTCTGTGCCTCAAAAGTCCTTTAGTTTTCTATGGTAATCTCTCTGGTTTCCTTCCTTCCTTCCTTAAACACCACCTTACCATCCATCCTTTGGGTTTCCAGCAAGGTTCTATGGCTCCTTTCCTCAGAATTGTGAGGATTAACAAAGTTATTTAGCAATTGTTAGTCCTGCCTATGACTATATATGGTTCTTACTACCAAATCTATTGTTCCAGACTAGATTTTCAAGTATTAGATGAGTTCATCTAATTGCCAACTAGTTCTTTCCTCCTGAATGTACCAATTCAACTCTTTCCCCCTCCAAAATGTGTTCATTTCACTGAAATGACATTACCCGCAACCCATTACTAATGCCAGAGGAAATCCCAGCGCCATTCTTGATACTTTATTCATATCCACTCATCAAATTCTATTGTGCCTTTTAAATATCTTCCATTCCTATCCTCCCTGTCCTGGTTGTTTGGTCCCAAACCTCCCAGTAATAACACTGGTGAGATATCTGCTGAAACGTTCTAACATGCAAATTTCTTCACTCACACCACTGTGATT